AAGGCCATAGCACCGTGGGACACGTACAGCCGCGGAAACGGTGCCTGCATCGCGATATAGCGTTTCATAACAGCACACGCTTCCTGATTTTTTCAGTAGTCTCGGCCGGTGGTTGTAAACTCGCGAACAAACTCAAATGTCACATACCGAGATAAAACGGGACAATACGTAACTTTTCTTTGAAACTTGATAAATATTGGCTAAGAATAAGAATCGAAGAACTTCTGAATTGCAGACTGTACTGAAATATTTCATACGCGGCACGAAATATGAGAATTTAACGTAAAATATAAATTCTTGTACTTTGAGTTATTTGTAAAATCGTTACAGTTAATAGAATTGAAATTTACATGATGGTTTAGAAATCTTTGATGGTATGAGTTGAGAAGGGTAAACGATTGGCATTTCTAATGATCAGACACAAAGATCGCAGTTTTTGACATTTCTTTAGATAGGGTTTTTCGCCAACCACGAAGGAAATGTCAAATCGTTAGTATAAGGATGCAATGTCAGAGCGGTTTTCATTTCATTCCCTACGTTCTGCAGAGAGTAAGCTCTTCTTCTGCAACTACGGAGATATCGTCCAGTTAACGATCCCTTCATTATTAGCACAGAGATGCCTCCACAAACGTTAAGATAGAGCAATTCTCAATCCGTCTTCCACGTTCTTTAGGTAGAAAACTGAAGCTGTTTTGTACCTACGAAGGAATTAACGTTACCTTCACAGATGTCTTCGAACATTTACATAGTCCCTAACGACGTCGAAATTTTTCGATCGTAAAGAAAACGTTTCATTAGCATAAAATCCCTGCAAACGTCCATTCATTCGAAATTAACAGTTCTATTCGTAATCGAACAATATGAGTTGGAAAAAGCGAGCCAGCCGAACACGATAACGTTGTTAACGAAAGAACGTGGAATCATTTGAAAAAGTTCGGGTAATCGAAACGGAAGCTAAAACTCGCTCAAATTGGAGCAGTTGAACGTGCTCGACGCGTCCCGTACGTCGAAACGGGCCTATCCACGCCTCGTGAAAGAGGTATTGTCCGCTCGTTGAATGGCACAGACATAATTCGTATAATTGCGGAACACACGCCACTCAGCGTTCGCCATTCTTTCGCGGCAATACCGCGGTATTCCGCGGTATCAACCGTTCGTGCATGGGGATAGCAATAAACAGCCGGCAGAACGACCGATGGGACGAGAAGACAATTGAACGTGTGGGTACCTACGCGAAGCGGATGCTCGCGGAAACGGCACACTCGTTACGCTAGCGAACGATTTCCAGCAGGGAAAACGATGTTCCTCCTTCCCCTATTCTCTTCACTCTCCCTTTCGTCTACATATAGCGAACCTGTACTCGAATTTGTCGCTATTTGATCCGATCACCCCTTAATCCTGATTCAGAGACGATTGCACATCTGTACCGTACCTTTAATAAAATACATGAGCTTGATTCATTTTTGACGTTATATACAAATGACTACTTATGATCTACATCAGCCTCTGCATAAATGCATCCACATAAATGTAGCGAAATTAAATTGAAGTGTTCAGTGCTAGTATAGATGTTACACGTCTTGTAAGGTTATAGTATATATGCATATATGTACATTTAATCACATTACTAACTTCTTTTTTCATTTCTATATTTTCACCTTGTTTCTATATTTATATATTTTTGTTTTGCTTGAATTTTTCGAACAGCTCCAATATACATACTTTTTAACTATCCCAATTAATAATGTGATCGTTTTGCAAGAACGATGTACTTCGTCATAGGGGATGAAGGAATATAAAGAAGCAAAAAGTAGGTAGGATTTTTTGCTCGTGTGTCGACTGCGGATGGCGTGTGGCGTTGGAAAAAATATGCTCGTGGCAGCGGAAATTGAAGAAGTACCGAGTGAAAATTATTTATTACTCGATTTTCGTACGCGTTCCTCGTAAATTTTATTCTTCGATTCATCGAGGACGAACGATTTATGTAATCCTTCAAGGACGCAGGTATTACGAAGCTCGCGTTTTTAAGCATGCCAGGTATGCTTAAAAAAATTTAATTTCGTAGCAGCAGATTGGATCAGACGTTTACTTGACAATAAAAAGTAACGTTATAGCTTGGCCAGTTTAAATTCCACGGCGTCTTATTCCCAACGACGCGGATTCCGCCGTAGCTGAGACAAAAGGACGTAGTTGTTAGCTATCAGCGTGTTCTCTCTTTCTTCTTGGGAAGCTTTCATCGAAACGTTAAACGCGGAAGCAATATCGACAGAAGCTGCCGGTTCAAAGTCGGTCGGCGATCGTCAGGCTCTCAAAGCGAAAGAATAGTTCCAGTTTTCTCTAGGAATTTGAATTTTCTCCCTGATCCACTGCGTTTTGAAATAGCTCCCTGTCCATGACAGCGGAACACGAGGAACAAGTGTGCGGTCGATACGCGTTGGAATTTAAGGGATTCAGAAACTTGGTATTATAAAAGGTTTATTAAATTAGGAATTGAAAAAGAATTTAGTTTTAAAAAATTAAGAATGTAAGAACTCGCTTATAGTTTTTATAATCCTGAATCCGAATAACGTAACCGATTTCGATTTCATAAAAGTTTGACAGTGAAAAAATCAAAGTAACAGAGTAAGATCGACATAGATAAAAATCTGTGCCGGCTAAAAATCTATATAAGGGCGAGTAATCGCGCGCAGGCTGCGACGCCACATAAGTTTGACAATATCGTTCCCTTCGGCTGTTCCTACACCTGCGGCCCGCTTTTTTATCGTCCATACAGTTCCTTGTTTTTGCTATCCGTCTGCTCGTACGGCTTTTATTGCGAACCGCCTTTATACTTTATATCCAATCAGCTCGTTGCCCGTTTGCCGAGTCTCGTTCGAGCATTTCACGCGTCGCGGTTAACGAAAATGGATATTCCTTTGGTCCCTGTTCGTCTTTCTCCCGCTTATAAGCCGTTGTGTTTTCACGCGTGTGCATGCGACTCGCGCAGGTGAGAGCAGCGGCGAAACAAAGCGTGTCGGGACAAAAGGAGGCCAGGAGTATAACACGCGTGACTCGATCGGCCTCACGTGTCCTCACGGACCAGGTACCCGGTTTCGCGTCGCCGGTAAATTAAATTCTAATAAAGCCTGCCGAAATGCCGCGAAAAAAGCCGGTCGAGCGTTCGGTCACGAGGGGAACAATGGCGTTGAAAGGCGTCGAAGGTAGCGCGTTGTTGGTCGACACGAACCGCGGTTAATTATGTCGAGGCGGCGACCAGGAATCTCGCAGAAAAACTTGCCTTCGGGACTCTACGGGGGTTTCAGCGCCGTCCCGAAACTGTTAACTAACTCGCCGCTTCCTCTGTCCGAATAGGTGTGTCATCCCCAAAATGTGCTGCATCGAGGTAAAAAAGGGTGATTGGTGAAAAAGGCGGCTGGATGAATACTTTCTTATTCTTTTGCATCCTTGTGGGACTCGCTTTCGTGGTCCTCGTTCGGTAGCTTTGATGCTGTTCTTTTTTATCCACGGATCGTAAATCATTCGCTGAACGACCATGGATGCGTGAACGTTAGAACGTAATATGTTGTATCGCCACGCGTTAGATTACAGTGCTGTTGTATTACGCGGTGAATTACGAAGACGCCATGGGTCACATTATTATGCGACGCGTTGCTACGCATTGAATTACCACGCATTGCGTCGTCACGCGTTGAATTACGCGCTGAATTATCACATGCTAAATTTCTATGGTTTGAATCACCCTTGCGTTAAGTTCACGTTGTGAATTATCTGCGTTGAATTACTACACGCTGAATTATCGTGCGTTGAAATACTATGCGCTGAATTATCGTGCGTTGAATTATCATGTGAGGAATTATCATGCTCTGAATTACTATGCGTTAAATTGCGGGGGGTTGAAGTACTATTCGCTGAATTACCACGTAGTAAATTATCACGGGTTGAATTACTAAGTATTGAATTATCAAGCGCTGAATTAACAAATGCTGAATTATCAAGCGTTGAATTACTACATGCTGAATTATCGTGCGTTGAAATACTATGCGCTGAATTATCGTGCGTTGAATTATCATGTGAGGAATTATCATGCTCTGAATTACTATGCGTTAAATTGCGGGGGGTTGAAGTACTATTCGCTGAATTACCACGTAGTAAATTATCACGGGTTGAATTACTAAGTATTGAATTATCAAGCGCTGAATTAACAAATGCTGAATTATCAAGCGTTGAATTACTACATGCTGAATTATCGTGCGTTGAAATACTATGCGCTGAATTATCGTGCGTTGAATTATCATGTGAGGAATTATCATGCTCTGAATTACTATGCGTTAAATTGCGGGGGGTTGAAGTACTATTCGCTGAATTACCACGTAGTAAATTATCACGGGTTGAATTACTAAGTATTGAATTATCAAGCGCTGAATTAACAAATGCTGAATTATCAAGCGTTGAATTACTACATGCTGAATTATCGTGCGTTGAAATACTATGCGCTGAATTATCGTGCGTTGAATTATCATGTGAGGAATTATCATGCTCTGAATTACTATGCGTTAAATTGCGGGGGGTTGAAGTACTATTCGCTGAATTACCACGTAGTAAATTATCACGGGTTGAATTACTAAGTATTGAATTATCAAGCGCTGAATTAACAAATGCTGAATTATCAAGCGTTGAATTACTACATGCTGAATTATCGTGCGTTGAAATACTATGCGCTGAATTATCGTGCGTTGAATTATCATGTGAGGAATTATCATGCTCTGAATTACTATGCGTTAAATTGCGGGGGGTTGAAGTACTATTCGCTGAATTACCACGTAGTAAATTATCACGGGTTGAATTACTAAGTATTGAATTATCAAGCGCTGAATTAACAAATGTTGAATTATCAAGCGTTGAATTACAACGCGCGGAATTATCGCGTGCTGAATTACCACTGGCGTCATAACATTTTTACCAGTCAATAGAGTTTAACTGAAAGTTATTGTTTGTTCCAGGATCGGCACGTGAAGGACACCAGCAAGAATCCAGAAATGGACGCGAGCCAAGACTATTGCCTCCTTCAGGGTTTCGAGAACAAGACGCACACCGTTCTTCGTTTCAGCAGGCGATACGATACGTGCGACCCACGGGACCTCAAGATCACGGTAGGTGGTTTGATTTATACGGCTTCCGGCGTGAAAGATAATTTTGCTACTGTGCTTCAACTGCTCGCTCGAGGATCGTTTGACGGATTTACGAGAAAAATTGATCAGCTGAGCACGATGCCAGCCGACCGGGATAGAATTATTTATCGCGGTTCTTTAGGAAATTGTGGATCACCTTGCTTCACCGTTACGAAATAATCAATCCTCTTGTAATCGGGGCACATGTGTCAGATTCAGGGTACTTTAACCCTTCAGACTTGTCTTCTTTGCACAATTGGTTTAGGATGAGCGTCATGTGAGAAACAAGATTGGTAACAAAATGTGTCAATAAATTACAATGACAATCATTTCTTGAGTCTGGATGTATTTCTTGATATGTTCCGTCACAAGTAGTTACTAGTTTATATAAATAGTTAACGTTTCATCAAAGGTGTATTTTCATTCTTTGGACATCTTGTGCGAATGAATTTAAGTAACACCATACTTTAATTTAGATGATGTAGATTTTATTTGGGTAAGATTCATTCGTAAGAACAGAGTATGCTTGTTCTTAAATTGTGAAAGATTAGAGGGAACGTGCTAATGCCCACATGTGGCTTCAATTTGTCGATGAGCTTAACCCTTTTCTAGTAGAAAATATTTGGTCCGAAAGCAAAGCGATTAAAGCGATCGCAGCATAAAAGGATTAACGTGAGAATGGAGCAAAGAGGAGGAATTAGGACGGCGCCAAGTAGTGCGCGACAATGCAAAATCGCGAAAATACGAAGGCGGTTCGTTGCGCGTCGCAATTAACGTTAATTAACCGGCATTACGGGTTGCAAATACCTACCCTTGTAAAGTGTCAGGAATTTCTGAGCGGTTTAAAGTTTCGGATCTAACGAGAAGAGAAAAAGAGACTGTGTCAATGTTACAGAAAGTTGGGGTCAGAGGCAAATTTCCGAATTTTTATACTTTTAAACCTTCAATAAACAAAAAATAGGAATTAACAAATGTAGTAGTTTAGAACTTTAGAAATTTTCAAATATTAAAAAGTAGAAACTTAGATATTTAAAAAACTAGAAAATTTACGAATCGGTGAAATGAGAAATATAAATTCTTTAAATTCGTAAATTTTTAGATTGTCGTATTTATAGAAATGATTGCCAATGTATCTAGTTTCAGCTCAGTTCGATTAAAATTTAAGAACTCGTTATCGAAATAACAGGCTTCGCTCCTCGAATTCTGACGAGTTGCAAGAATAAGTCGACCCAGTTCTTAATTTCGTCGGTAATTAACTCGGAAGTAGATGAAAGCACGATAGAACCGTTCGCTCGTTGGTACCGAGACTAAACTCGAAGGGAAGAGGAGATTACGCGCGTGTTGCGATTTGCTCGAAGCCGACAATTTATGGCGGCCAAGCAGGGCACAGACGTTTGCGCCATTGCGCCTCGAAGGGGTTGCTTGTATCGTTAATGGCACTATTGATATGCATTTATGTCTTGTCCAATGTCTCAGACCTGTTTTTCAACGCGAACCGTGAACGCCGACTGAACGTAAAAAACAGTAATTGGCACGGACGACCAACAGAGATTTAATTAACGTTCTTGAAATTACCGTGGATGTCGAACGTCTTAATTACCGATTGTTCGTAATTGCTGTGGGACGGTAAAGCGGCTGATAGAAATGGGAATTAATGGTGCTGTTTCCTTTTTCATGAATTTTACAAGTATTTCAATTTCTTAATTATTTGAAATACGAATCATGAACTTCTTAATTTACAGATTCGAAAATTCCTCGCTTCTGAAATATTTAAACTACTTATCTCCTATATTTGGTTCTGAAATATTTAAATTTCACTTGAACTCTTGAATTCAACTATTCCAAATCCCTTTTCAATTCCAAAACTCGGTAAAATCCTAAATGTAAAAGTTTGATCAAAACGAGTGAGCCCTTACATCATTTTCCCTGCAAAATCGTACATCGTCAGCGTACATATCGTCTATAATTCCTGGATCGAAATGGACAATGCAAGAGTCACTGCACGGTAGAAAATATAATTCATGTTTCCTCGCAGACTTTCGTCGGTGTCCGTTTCGTTCGCGATCGTAGCACGATTCCTTCAACCACCACCGTAATTTTCGTTTCGATACAAGGACCCGATCGTCCGATAACCCTTTTATATAAAACGTACGGTGTTCCAACGTTCGCAGGCCCATTTAAAGTATCTCGGTCCACCTACGGATTCAACGGTTCCGTTCGCGAGCCACGATATCGGGCTCTCGGGGTCGTTTCACGGGGCGAACGTGACACGTAAAAATATCATGTAGGGTACCGATACATCACGCGATCAGATAAAGCAAAGGGGAGCTGACTTCGTCGTTTGTCGTACAGATAGAATCTCGGTCTCGCGGTGACTCGCTTTATTTTTGCACCCAAGTATTTTGATGACTCAACTGCCGGATGGATGTTACCGGGTCATGGAGGGACCGGTGCATCCTTCGTCACGACTTCTTCGCGACGGGTTTCTGCAGATCGGGATCAAGAAAGTAGCCTCTAACCGCTTTCCTAAATCCTGCTTAGCGGCTACGTGAACAAGATCGGCCTGCGCGACAACGCCATCTTGAAATCTTCATTTCGCGTTTCTGCTTAACGATGTATTGTACAGTTGTCAGAACAGGATAACTTAAATGATTGTAGGAATATTAGGTTTAACATTTGCTTAGATTGTCTACTGCACAGTAACAATGAAATACAATACCTAGATATAATTTGTCTGTGTTCATTAAACTTGAGAATTGTTATTTATGATTTGATAGAAATTGTTCTAGCGTTACTAATCGAATCGCTTTTATACGTTTTACAATTTTCGCTCAAACAGCAACGTTGGTATAGAAAATAAACACTAATCCCGTTTTGCACGTGGTGTTCCTGTGTTTTTCTTTTACTCTTTCGTTTTAAATAAAAGTCAACGTAATCTTCGCAGCGGCAAATACCGTGTAATTACTTTATTGACAAAGCAATTCTCGTCCCGGCGTTTTTGCACGCGAGTAACGCGCGCTCGTCCATGGAAATTCTACGCGCAAACGTTCTCCTCGACTTCGCGTTCGCCTGCCAATATTTGCGCTACGCGCGTCAATTATTTACGCGTACACAGAGTCGCGAATATTTAGCGTTCACCGGAATGCTCGTCGTTCGGTTTCGCGTACGCGTGCGTGTTCCAGCCACGCGCAAATGCTCTGCAGCGAATACGAACGCGTTCGCATACGAAACCCTAATCACCCTGTTATTTTCGATACGTCTTTGTATCGTTTCGAGAGAATCATCTTCCTCACGCAACTTATTTCTTTCAATTTTTTTTAGATAGAAAAATTGATAAAAACTTAAGAATGTGGTTTTAATCTTAATACCAATTTGTAATTTCTATATGTAATTTGTATATGTGTGTATTTGAACATATGAATAGGTGGACATTTGGATATTTGAATATTGGAGCATTTAAGCATTTGACCATTCGAAAATATAAGTCTGAAGTATAAAAATTTGAAAATTCAATTATACTGTTACAATATAAAGAATATACCTTTACGTCTTCTCACAGCCATAGCATATATGGTACACGTCTACGTATCGACTATCGGATTAGGCTTAATTGCATTCATCCGAGTACACAAGCGACACAGCAGGAAATGCCGTGCGATGTGACAACGAATCGACATTTTCTTCCGTTTGAGACGAAGAATGGAGTAGTCGAACGGAAGACGATAAAGAATTCGCGAAGCAGCCGTCGTTTCCGTGTCAAATTATCGATACACGGTAGTAAGCTTGCCTACTTGCTCGCAGTGTCGAGCGCCATTTCAAATTGCCAATACGGTTGTCTCGATACGGGCCCTTTGGGAACCATTGTTATTTCTACGGAGAGCCGTTTCGGATTAATCGAATGAACAGCGAATTAAGCGACGCTCCGTCCTAACCGGCTTACACGGAAGAGAGATTCGATTGCATGTTAATATCGCGCGACTGGCCCACTCCTTTGGTTTAGTATGCAGACAGTCTCATCAACGGAACGCGAAATTAAGCTTAACTACGTAGGAGATGACATACAGTGCACACACTTGCAGGCGGATCACAGTGAGAACGGGTCTTGAGGTCTCGTATTCAGGAGGCGCTTGGTTGCTACGCATCGGTCTTGTGTGCTTGTAATTAGTTCATTAGCGAGCGTAGGCGGACAGGCGACGACCATCAGAGGAAACCGGCGACGTTTCGACGCGCATTGAAATATGTATTTTTCATAATTAGGCTTGTTTACTTGCCGCGCTAGTCGCGCGACGGAGTTATGCAAACTAGTAATTATTTCGTTAGCCCGCAACGCTGTGTTTCGAGCAAACGAATCGGACTGAGAACTCCCAGACTGGAAGCTCTTCTCTTTGATAGAGGTCGTTTTCGTCTGATTACGTCTGGCATAAGTATATTTCATCTCTTCACCGTTAGATTTGTATAAATCACCTCGCTATTGAGATTAGAACCTGTTGAGTGTGGACATTCTGAAGCTTTGGGTACTGGAAAGTGAATGGTTTGCCAACTCTCAAGATAACCATGACAAAGAAATATCGACCTTTGGGAGTAGCGATCTCAGGCCAATTTCGCGTTCGTTTTCATCCTCGGATCTGACAAATTCCAAATTTCCTGGTTGCGGTGGTCACAGTGGAATACCTGAGAGTCAACGAGCGGCCGAGCTGTTTGCATCGCTCTGTCATCGCGTTGAATGTCGACGATAGAAACCGCAAAAGTTCCGCGATGTTCAACGGTCGGATTTCCCTTTGAGACCTACACGACCCGACAAGTGTATTATGCAACCGACTATTAAAGGAACCGTCATAAGTCTGGGGAGTTTGCAAGGTTCGCAGTTTTTTTACTGGAGCCAGTATTTCGCGAGAAATTCTCTCGAGTGCGATGGTGGAAAATCGGCAACGGATCTGGGCGATTCGTTTGATATGTATTCGGGGTACGGCGGTGTAAAATGT